CTGGGCACCGCGAGCACGGCTGGGCTCTCCAAAAACACATTCCTGCACTGGGAAGCAGCAGCCCTGAGCCCTCTCCCGGCCTCAGGTAACCAAACCCTTTCTTTGCTGCTCTGTTCTTTCCAAACAATGTTATCGCTCGGCAGCGGTGCTCCTGCTTATCTGGCAGCTTGAGCATTACCCAGAATGTGGAGAAACTGGGCTCCGTGGTGGGGTGAAACCCCCCCCAGGCTTGCAAACGGTCTGGGCATGGCAGAGGAACCACAGCTCCCATGCTGAGGATCTCCTCCCATGGTGGCCTCTGTATTTTCTCTGCACCCCAAATCTCACTGCTGTGCATCCCATAGCCCCCAGTGCTCGGCACTCAGTGAGCAGGGTTAGCAGGAAACTAAGTTCAGCTCCTCTGGTGTCAAACCTGCTGTAAATGGCCTGATCCAAAAGCACAATTATAACCAGATAAAGGTCTCACTGAAGGCGAGGAACACCTCAAAAAGAACAAGCGGCAAACAGGGTATCACCTCCTCACAACCCAGCTCTGGCCCCACCTCAACTGGTATCCTTCTGGCAGAAAGATGTGATCCCAAAACCTCTGCAAGAAGGGCAGGACATCCCTCCTTCGGGCTCAGCTGAGGAATGTGCCATCCAGGAGCAGCAGGAATTGAACCCTCATGAGCCATCCCCCCATAGCCACCTCCCAGTGACATGGGTTAGTGGTACAGTTGGCAGCGCTGGGGTAACAGTTGGACTCGATGAGCTTAAAGGTCTTTTCCATTCATAGCTGCTATGATTCCTTAGGGCCCCATCACCCAGGGAGGTTGGGATCTCAGCCCAGGCTCTTCATTCGCACCCTTAAGTACCAGGGAACGAAAGGTAGCAGGACGGGGAGGCTCTGCTCAGCCCTGGATGGAGGCAGGAGAGCAGAGGTACATGCCCAATCGCAGCACAGGGCAACCAGAGGCATCCTGTCTCTCCAAGAGCAAGAGCTGATGTGCAGGCACTGCTGAAAACCACAGCTCTCAGCGTGCTGTGGTTAAAGTGACCTGACACCTCCTGCAGCAGACACTTGGGCTTCATCTGCTGCATTACCCAAGGCAGATGCCCTCAAGACTCCACCAGGTCCTGCAGCCACAGTGCTCCAGGTTGCGCTGCCTCTCCCTCCTGCCCTGCGGCACTCAGCATCGCAATGCAATCACCCAGCTCATCTCCAGTGCCCAAAACCACGGGGAAAGGCCAGCTCCCACCACCACCAACACAACACATATGCACACCCCTCAGCAGACCCTGCTGGGACAGCTGGCAGCAGAGATAACACTGTAAACCACAAAGAAAGACCTGCTGCTGGCTCATCAGCTAAAAGCCCCGTCTCTGCTCGTTGCAGAGAGCAGCAGGTTTGCATCGGAGGGAAGGAGTCCTGGTTTCCATCACCTTCCAGCAGAGACCTCAGCCTCACAAGAATCTCTCCAACACACCACCAGCCACTGCAGCATATATATATATATACACAACACAACTAACAGGGACAGAAGCTTGAAGAGACACTGTGGAATTGATTAGTCGTCAAATTCATCAGACCATAAAAGAAGCTCCAGCTGTGCTCCTCTTATTTGCGTAGAGAAATGCAAGAGGCAGTGCTCTATTTAAAATTAATTCCTTCTTTTTTTTCTCTGTTTACTAGAGCCCAAGTTATTCTGGTTGACAATTAAGCCCATTATCCAGCTCCTTTCTTTTCCACCACCCCCGTGCCTAAAAAGGAAAATTCCTATAAATGCTATTTGAAATGGAAAAACGCAGGTTTACAAAGAGCTCAGGAAGGTGTTTGAACCATTCAACCTCCGGGTTTAAGATGCCAGCACAGGACTCAACACAAGCAATACCTTTCAAATCAACAGCAATTTCAAGTCACCCCCGCTGCATACAAGCTCAGAATCAAGCGCTGGCCTAAATGTTCTGCCAGAAACTTGGCTTAGGTGTAGGAGGGCAAGAGAAAACAAAGACACAGATTTTGGCTGGTGTACTTGTGCAGAACCACTGTCAGCACATAGTTCTCAGCTCATACAAAACCCAGTGGAGGAAATCCAAAACAATAACTTGGAGGCCAGAGGAGCAGAAAACTGCAGGAACACTGTAATATGATGTAACCCATGGGACTGCTCAGCACTCGTCATTAAGCTGGGTGCTTGCAGTATCCCATTGCAAATCAGGTCTTTTTGGTTTGGTTTTGAAGCCGAGCCACAGTTTCAGCAGGTGCTTTAGCAAAACCACCAAGAATGATCCTTTCTAATACTTAAAGTGTTCCCTCACTGTAGATGCCTGCCTTGAAAGGGGCTATTTGTTAGAGATGCTCTGTACAATGGTACCCAGCCTGGGGTACCACAGGGAGCCCACTGCAAACAGGTTTTCATACCCAGGTACCACAGATGCTAAGAGCAAAACCACAGCAAAGCCACAACCAACATCAACATCTGAGACCTTAAAACCTCATCCCAGTTTTAGCTCTGTGTTCATCACCCAAAGAAACAAGAATTCATAAACCACCCCCAAAAATGCTCCCTTTTTCTATTTTCCATGTTGGAAAAACAACATTCAAGCAGGTAAACAAGGATTCTCCAGAAGGAGCAAAAAGTTGCCTGTTGTGCTCCCAGCCAAAGCCAGGCTGGGATGCAGTTACATCAGGTTGAATTTTAACTCATCTAGTCAAGCTCTGACCACCTCTAGCCTCTGGGCCCCTGTTCCCACACCAAATTACCCTCACTGTGGCCATTTCTTCTCTAACACCTCATTGAGAAAGCTCTCACTAATATCTGAGCTGGAGCATTACACAGGACAAGGAGCCCTTCTCATTCCCACTGCACGCGTTTCTGCCTGTGTGCTAATTTGTAAACTAGACAAATAAAGACAAACTTGGGGCTGGAAGTTGTTTTATTGTGGTTTTTCTGTCCTTTGGGCAGGATGGGCAGTGCCGCTATGGCACATCACTGCCTGTCTCCATACACTCCGGCACACAATGCAAGTCAGACAGCCTCTGAAGCACACACAACTCCAGGCTGTTCCAAGATAACTGCATTTATACCACTGTCTTACAGGGAAGAAACCAGCAACTGTATTTTTGGAGGAAGCAGGAGCAAAACACTGGCTTCATGCCTTGTGCACAGCTACACCAAATAGCATCACACAGCTTTACAGCACATGGACAGATATCACTGGCAGTGCAAGTTCCGACCCACAGACACCCTTCTCTTCCCCAAAGCCTCTTTGGTCTTTATCCAATTATGACTCCAGCCAACCTGCTTAACACCAAGAACCTTAAGCAAGCGCCACCCACCCCATAAATCTGTGTTTTATGGCATGGCAGAAGCCTAATTACACACAGTTAAATTCTGTCAAAAATTAAAGCCCACACATTTGCTCTAAAATTGAAATCAGCACTTTTAGGTACCAAATAAAAGCAATGCTAACATTTCAAAGACATATTGGCAACACCGCTGAACCAGATTACATTACTGACCCTAAACAAATAGAGGGCATTGCTCTTCCTCTGAGATCCTTTATTTTATATATATATATACACATATATATAGTGTTTTGAATAGAAGCACTTTGATCCATGCCCTGAATCGTGACCACACAAGTCCCAAGCACTAATCAGCGATGCAGCTCAAACACCTAGTGACTCCACAGTACACGTTCTTGTGCCACTGCCGTCCCCTGCTACATTATCCAGCATAATACGTTGTTGAACCTCAGAGGTTTGGAAATGTTTTGCTTAGGAGACCTTTCGTTTTGCAACACCACCTTCAATGGAGGTTTTTAAATACAAGTCACGCATCAATTTGTCCAAGAACAAGCGCTGCAAATGAAACACAACCCATGTATAAGATGGGACGAGACCTGTACAAGATATGCACTATGATGGGAAATGAAATGTAAAGCAAGCACATCTAGTCTTCAGGGATTTTCACTACAGGAGGAGCGCTGTAGAAGTGAAGGGAAGTTTGTGGCTATGGTATTGCTTCCCAAGAATCCTCTAGAAGTGCTCAGGATGAGGTCAGTCGCACACAGGGAACAGCAATGACACAGTGAAAACATGGTTACATGGAAAAATGACAGAGTAGGTACCCCGAGAAGATGGAATTAACCAGGATACTGGCACTGCCTTGCTCTCCTAGCTCACTGCCTGTGCTACGTGACCACCAAACCTCAAACCCAAAGCGACTGCCCAGTCATCCCCTTGCTCTTGTCCTCAACATGGATGTGTGCCTACAAGAAGGGAAACAGCACCTGACAAATTCTAAAGGGCCTTTTTCTTTTTCAAATCATCATGTAAGAGGTCTTTCACAGCTGAACAGCCAAATATTATCAGTGGATACTATATTTTTAATTACATGCATAAATCTAATAAACAGGTGAACGTGTATTACATCAAACCCAGGCAGCATCCCTTTACATACCTGATCTGTGCCTCTTCCAGAACACTTGCATTAACACATGCTCTTCTTGCATAACACACGGAAATGGGCACAATAACTAAAACAGGTTCCTCTATGTGCTTGGGCTAAAAGGCCTTTCATCATCCCCTCCTCCCACTCTCAGAGCTAATACCAAGTGCAAGAAGCAAAGAAATACCAAGCACAAGAAGTAAAGGCTGGGTTGGACCTGGGCTGCAGTAAATAAACCACATCACCCGGCCCCAGCATCCCCCAGCACCTACATCCTGGTCCCCACAGACAGGCTGTGAGACCCTGGAGCGCTGTGCTCCAGGATGGATGGAGGCTGCCTTGGATGACTAGACATCTTTGAAGGGAGAAGGGGAAAAACCAACCCAAAAAACCCAAACCAAAAGCAGAGGCATCTGTGTGCCTGATATGGCTAAAGAGCTGCATTCTGGTGACTTTTGAGCTTGCTCAGTGCTGCTGACAGGAGGAAAAGGCGCCAGCAGCAGGGAGCAGCCATGTTCCCGGAGGAGCAGGGCTGGGAGCAGGCTCCCTCTGGGAATTCGTACTCACCTGGCGGTTTCATGTAATATTGCTCAATATCGGACATGTCTGTATGCAGCGCACAATCGAGATAGTGCAGGATAACTTTTCTACTGAAGTAGTACCTCATGCCCATCAGAAAGATGGGCAAGCAGCAGGTCAGCAGGAAGGACTTGGTCACAACAAAGCATATTACTATGGAGATAAGGAAGAGAAATAAACGATACCTGTCAGAAAAGAGAATTTAGTGTTGATTTCGGAATACAAACTCATTACACAAAATAAATTAAAAACCAAAAAGAAAACAAGCACAGACAAAACATACATTTGCAGTAGACACAGAGTTCAGGCTCTCGAGATTATCATGTTAAGGGACACACCAAGATAACCCCGGAGAAGTTTATGGGGTGTCTGGAGAGAGCCAGTGGGGAGGATGCCGCCATAGCACGGCAAATCCCACCAAGCCTCCCCAGTGAGACAACGGTGGGGACACCAGGGAGCCCCCACGCCCCGCTCTGCTCTCCCCGGCCGGGATGGAAAAGCCACGCTGCGGGCACGCCGCTCCGCAGCCATGTGTGTGTCACTGCGGCAGTACTATTTCCATCGCACCGCCTCAATGCCGGCGTGCTGCCGGAGACCCGGGGGGCTTCTCCGGATGCCCCCGAGATGGCAGCGCCCCCCGGCACGGCCCCGACCCCCCAGAGCCACCCTGCAGCCCAACTGCTTGCTCTGACGGGGGGACCCCCTGCAGCACAGGGCCCTGTCGTCCCCCCAGGCTGAAGCATGAGAGTGCAACCTGCCTGTAACCACCAAGGGCAGGAGAAACCAGCCCAAAGCTTGCTCGGGGAGGCGGCGTGGGGGGGACACATCATTGGTAATTATTAGCACGGGGAGCACCGTTATTTGCGGGGTGGGGGTCACCTTGCAGGCGCTGTTTTGAGGATGCAGCTCTGGGAGGTGACCCCCCCCCCGGCTCGGCCCCGCTGCAAGGGTCACCCCCTCATCACACTGTGGGGGGCTCCGCCGGCGGGCACCGCCGTCTCCAGGCAACGCCGGAAAGCGGCGGCCCCCCCTCCGCCTCCTCTCCCCTCCTCGCATCCCACCCGCCGTTCCCCAGGCCTACAATGACTGAGAGGACGGCTCTACCCTCGGCCCCGCGCAACTTACGCAGAGGCTCCCCCGCTCCCCAAGCCCCAAGCAGGGTCGCGCATCCCCAGCGGCGCAGCACCCCCCCCCCCGCCGCAGCGCTGCGGTTCCGCGGCCGCCCCGCACGATGCTGCGGCGCTCCCCAGGCCGCTCCGCCGCAGAGCCCAGGGCTGCGGGTCCGTGTCCCACCCCCCCCTCCCGGCTCCTCCCGTCCCCGCGATCACATTGTGCAGACCCCGGAGGGGTAAAACCCCTTGGCCCCCTCCCCCAAAAGGGATGAGGTACTCACCGGCCAGCAGTCCGTAGAGCAGCTGGGTGAGGGGCTGCTGCTTCAGCCCCCTGAACGCCGTGTTGGGGATCCGCTCCATGATCCCCTCGTAAAATATGCGGCGCACCACCTCCTGCTCGGAGGGATGGAATTCGCGGATATAGACATTGTCGCGCTTGGGATCCTCTTTTGGGGAGCTGAGGGTTGGCGGAGGGGAGGAAGGGGAGCCCGCCAAAGAGGGCCACATTTGGGAGGAAGAAACAATGATCGTGTCTTTTTTAGATCCCGGGATTGATTCATGATCTTCCGCCACAATCTTGGTCTCACAAACCATCTTGGGAGACAGACAATGCATGCAAACCGGCCGCGGGGAAGGGGCGGAGGAGAAAAACGGGAAAGGGGGGGAATAGCAAAAAATTAACTAAAACCAATTAAATCACCAAAGGAAAAGGGGAGGGGGAAGGAGCGGGCGCGGAGCAGGACGGAGACCCGCCGGGCAGCGGCTGCGCGGGGCGCGGAGCGACGCGGCCGGGCGGGACGGGAGAAAGGAACTCCGCTGCATTTTGGAGAGACATTTATAGTGCGGGGGGGGCCGAGGGTCCCCGGGGTCCTAGCGCCCCCCGCATTGGCTGCCCGGGGTCGACATGTGATTGGGGGGGGCGGGACGCAGCCCCTCCCCTCCCCTTCTCCGTCTCCATCCCCATCCCTTATCTCTATCGCCATCCCCGCACCGCCCCTTGCAAATTACTACGGCGCGGGGGGCGGCAGCCCGTCCCCACCGGTGTGTGCCTGTGTCTGTGTATTTATATCCAGCGCAAGCACCACGCACCCGGCAGCTTCTGGAACAGTCGGTGCGGGTGCGCAGCGCTGCGCGGGGCGCGGAGCCGCGGGCTGGGGGGGGGAGGGGGCCGATCGGGCTTCCCTTGCACCGCACCGCGTCCCGGCGGGCTGCGGCGGGGGCCGCTCCGTGGTGAGTCATTCACCGCGGGGTGCGAAGTGGCACTCCGGCCCCGGGAATGATGCGGGATGCGGGGGGCAGCCCAAACAAATCCCCCTCCCCATGCACCAGCTCCCCCCGGTCGGTAACTTTTCCTTCTGTGCCTACGGCGCTGCGCGGGGCGGAGAGAAGAACCGGGGTTCGGGGGGGGGGGGATGCGCAGGGAGGAGGAAGGACGGGCTCCTCCTCTTCGCAGGACCCGAAAAGCTTCGGCCTCTCCCGGTTGGAACCGGCCGGCATCTGCCCGAGGCATGCGCTGTGCGCGGCCGGTGCAGGGACGGGGCGGAGGCGCGGGGAGCCGGACCCCTTCCTGCGAGCTGCGTCCCCCGAGAGCTCCATCTGTGCGCCCCTCAGGCGGCAGCCACCACTGTGGGGTGCGGCTGTGCGGCCCCCTCAGCTTCTCCTGTGCACCCCTGCACGGTTCAGCTGCGCCTGCGAGGTGCGTCCCCCCCCCCCCCCCGAAAGTTTGATCCGTGTCTCTTCTCCCTGCAAGGTGCACCGGGGCATCCCCCTTTGCCAAGAGGCACCCTTGTATCCGCTCCTGTTTGAGTTGTATCCCTGCAGGGATATAACTGCACCCCGTTACAAGCTCCATCCCTGCACCCCCTGGGAGGTGCACCCATCCATCAGGAGGGCAACCGTGCCTCTGCCACCGTGTGGGACCTGCTGCCTCTGGAGCCCGTGGGGTTTTGGTCCTTGGGAAGATGCACTCACTGACTGGGTCTTGCTCCAGCTAAAACTTGATTTCATTGTGGTGGTTTCGTTGTGGTTTCATTGCTTCACTCTTCTGCTAGAGAAATTGTTCAGGAATAAGAGGGATGGGAGAGGAGGAAGGATTAGCTAAGGGCTTGGAAGCCTTCCCACCCAGAGGAGTGGTGCCAGCACCCCGCGCATCGGTGTCCCTGGCGAGCAGCTCTTTCCCCGGTGGCTGTGGGACCTGCTGGTGGTCAGACGCTGCAGCTCTGCCAGGCTGCTCAGACGGGCACGCACGAACGGCCTCGCCAGCAGCAGGCTCAAGCGCCCGCAGAGTTCCCATTTCTAACGAGCATCGTCTGCAACTGCAGCCAGAGCAGCCCCCAGCTCCCACTGGCTGAACTGGAGAGCAGAATGTAGGATTATAAAGCCTTGCTCTGTAGATGGATTGGCCAAAAGAAGCATCTCCGGCTCGACAGGGGAGCCTGCCACGGAAAGGAGATGGGAAGAGGTGAAGCGTACAGCATCCCTGCATCCCCCTGTCACGTATCACCTCAGCAAGGATCAGTTGGACTCCTGTGCCTGGGAGAGCCCTGACATCCCCCCATTCACCAACGCAAAGGCAAAGTCTGTGGATGGGGGGAGGACAAAAAAAAAATCAGGGCAGTGTTTGCCTTTGAATTCTGAAAGCTTTGGGCCAAAGATAGGAGGTTGCTGTTCCAAAAGTATAATTAAAAAATGCCTAGTTCCCATATGCCTGGGTTAAGCAGGCATTTATTTTTGTTTGATCCTTTCTAGTCAGATGTGTTGCTTACTTACGAAATGAGCTACAGTAATAAGAACAACCCATTCCTTAAAAAAAGAGAAAAGCCAGCCCCACTGTGGTTTATATAACAGCCAGGGGAGCTCCCAGTTCCAGTCTCAGGCCGTGGACCTGAGCATTTGCAGATGAGCTATCTTTAGAAAGGCACTAAATACTTGTTTACTATTTATGCTGCTGCATTTGAGCATCTTATGAACAGTAATTAATATTGCCTGTTCCCCCAAGATAAGGGGGTACCGTCATCCCTGGCCACTGAGAGGGAGCCGAGGCCCAGAGGAGAGCAGTGATTTATGCACTATCATGCAGTAGCTCAAAGAAGACACAGGCACCAGACCAGATTTCCCAAGTCCTTCCTTGCTGTCTGAAAGCCAAACTTTGCCTTTCCTATTGCAAAGCCAAGATTCCATGTCCCTCTGTAAAGGGGTTTGAAGGGGAGGCACTGGGGGTGCTGCACAGTGGGGAGGAGGGATGGAGGAGGAGCAGGCAGCTGTGACTGACCGAAGCAAATGTCAGTGAAAATGAAGGACCTCACTGAAATCAATTGCAAAAGCCGGTCAGGTTCGCAGACAGCAGATTTGGGGCCCTGGAATGAAAAGGATATTGTTAACAGCAGCTTGCTGGCAAGGCAACTGCTCTGCCAGGAGCTTTCAGTCGTTAAGAACACAGTTGTCATCCCAAGTCACTGAGGATTTTGCTCTTGGGTTTACTCTTATTCCTCCAGGACCTAAGGGTAAATCTCCCACATGCCATGACCTACCGCTGAACCTCATGGATAGAACTAACTTAATTAAGATGGACAGTTCAGAGTTCGAATGTCGTGCCAGCCCTCGGTGCTCAGTGTAAAGAAGGAGCTTGTATAAACGTTTGATCCATTGCTACAGCTGGGAAAAAGCCCTGTGATAACCAGGGCAGATTGTGCGGCTCTCGAGGCTGAGGATGTTTGAGTCTGCTTCGGGCTGACTTTGCTGTGGATTAGCACATCAAAACAGTAAGCCTTGGAAATGCCACTATTTAACTTCACCAAAAGTGCAGCTCTTATCTTGGGTCAGAGGGGGTCACTCCCTTTACAGGTTATAGGAAGCGCCCAGCAAACACACAACAGAATTACCACTGTGGGAAGCTCACACCCTGTTCTCGGTCTGAAATGTTAGGGTTTCTGTCCAGCCCTGGGCTTTGAATGACTTGAAACATCTTCTTCCAACTAGATTTTGCTGTAACTCTTGATGTAATGAGATCTGTGCGACTGCAAATGAAGCAAACAATTTGGGACGAGCAGTTACTCTTGCAGAGCATCCATACTTAAGGAGCGAGGAAGTGCCGAGACAGGTCCCCTGCAAACCTCCCTGACCCACTGCTCAGTGTCTGCTGGGCAAGGAGAGAGGTGCTGCTGGCTCTATCTTTCTCCTGCAAAAACCACAAGCAGCCGCAATCCTTTGCTCATCAGGGACTGTATCAATCAACCTCAGCAATTAACCAGTTGACAGCAAAAGCTGCCCCAGGTTATATTAATGCAGTGATTTCGGAACAGCGCATCCCAGCAGGATGAGACTGTCTGGCAGGGGTGGCTCCCACCCTGTCCTTGGCAATGTCTCCATCAGCGAGCAGGGAAAGAAGGTATCCATGTTTAAGGCTCTTCTGAACTACCTCCAGGTTCGCCTCCAACCTAGATCTTGGTCATTCCAAGTGTTTTTTCCACACTTTTGACCCAGGATGCCCGGAGTGGGCTGAGCTCCCCCTGCACCACCAGCTGTTCAGCTGCAGGAGCCATCCTCCCTCTTTTTGGGCTGGGAAGAAAGTAAAAGCCTCTCTGTCTGCTGCAGATGTGCATATGAATGTGAGGCATTTGCCTAATAAATATCTTCCTAAAGGGGGATTAATTAGCATCCCAAGATTTGCTCTCATTGCACTCCCTCTGACGGCTGCATCTCTGCAGCAGCTTCCCTTTGAGGCTCTTATTTCCTGCTGAGAGCCTGTTGCTGGCCACTTTCCCGATGCACAGACCCCAGGGCCTTGGATTCATTGATCTTCCCAGGAGCCATCACAGCGGCATCAGTGCCATGCAAGTGGTTGGCAGTAACCACACTTGCATCCCTGTTTCCCCAGTCCTGCCATACACTGTGACCCACTGCAGTGGCAATGCATGATCCATCCTTCCCTAGCTGCCTCTGTGCCATGAATAGTAAGTCACATAAAACCTGATGTGCCAAATTATCTCCAACCTGTGAAACTCCATGAACTGGCAACCAGGGGTCGGGGGGATCTGCTGACAGACATAGACCTGGTGTCTGAGCTGGATGCACTCTGCTCCAGGCACAGCAAAGGGGAGAAACATGGAGCCTCCCAACCCAGTGTGGACCTCTAAAATAGATTGGGTGAATCATGTGCTAAAAGCAGTTGGGTTTGTCTATAAAGGGTGTGTGGGGTGACTAGCTCAGCTGTGGAAGTCTCCCCAGGGGATAACTGAAGATGAATCTCTTCCCACAACTCCTTTGGGTTGAAAGGATTTTGTGGGTTGTGAATAAAATACAAATGTTTCCCAAACAGTGTGGTTTTATCCTCTCCCGAACAGGGATTTTGGGAACTTGCATTTAATGTACAGTAACATCCATGGTGATGAAACCCCGCTCTAGATCACAGCAACATTAAAATCTGAGCTGTGCAGCAAGTATTTGGAGATTTATCTAGAGCATCTTGGTGCGACATGAGGAATACTTTCAAACAAAGGAGTGGTTGCTGCAGAGCTGTAAAGGAGGGACCAGGACTATGTGTGGCCTGAGAGCTTGTATGCATGTGGGAATAACACAGAGGTTGTGAGCCAGGAAATGTGCATTTCTTGGGGGTTTTAGTGCAGGACTTTGCACTTGCTTGGTAAATTAGCGACACTGCTTTGGAAAAATACCTGTCTCCACAGTCAGTTCCTTCTCCTGCTGCAAATAGCCTCCAGCCACCCAAATTTTGGCTACCTGCTTGGGTCAGCAGGGCAACGCTACTACGAAATCTGCTGCGTCATGAACAGCTCTGTCAATGTGTATCCATCTTTGCTAAGGAAGAAGGGAAGAACATGAGGTTAATGACTGTACTTTTGACCAACAGCTCTTTTGCTGGCATTTTTAACAGCAACTGTTGTAAC